GGGGAAGGGCGAGGGTCAGGGCCGCGGCGGCAGAGAAGCAGGGGAAGGGCGAGGGTCGGGGCGGCGGCTAGGGTTCGCCCGAGCCGCCCCGCTGGAGGCGTCCAACCCTTTCTTCTTAAGCTTGAGCTATCACGCTGATGCATGAGGCAAAGAGAGAGAGAAGGGTGTTCATGTGCTTGATGCGAACGTACATTCCTGTTCTGAATGATTGGATTGCCAGTGTCGAGGGTTTTGTATTACGATTAATTTTAAATTAAGCCAAAGCCAAAGGCAAAGAGAACACGACAAGCTAGCCAGCCCGAACCAAGGCAGTGCAGAGGAAGAGGAAATCTGGTCGCCAAATTCTGCAGCTGTACGTGCCTCCACATGTACATGTACCTGTACCGGGCCAGAGTTTGCCGAATCTCTATCTTTTACTCGTATCTTTTTGGCGAATCTTTCTTTCATCGGGTCAAATACTTTATTTATCATTATTATATTTCCTCCGATCCATATTAGTTGACGCACATTTAGGCCTCCTTTGGTTCATATGATAGGATTATTATAAGAATAAAAAACTTGTAGAAAATGAGATGACATGTATCTCAAATCTTATTGGTGGGAATAGAAAAAAAGATGCCATTTGATTTACAGCATTGGGATTTTTTTTTCATTGATTCTAGACTCATATTTATTTTTCTTTGAAATGTGAAGGATAGGAACCAATCTTATGTAGGAATAATAATCCATTCCTATGAATCAAATGGCTCTAAAGAAAAAATGCCTATAAGAATCCTATCCTACAGAATTTCTATGAAATTCCTTGGAACAAAAAGAGACCTATAGTCCAGCACTTATATTAGTTGAACCAAGTGCGCGTCAATTAATATGAATTAGACTGGAGTAGTATTTTTCTTTTAAGGGGGAGGCGTTTTGGCTCCCGGGTGCATTTGCACCCGGATGAACAGTACCCCAAAAAACAAATTAAATGTTTTCAAAAAATTCTGAAAAAAACTGTAGATGATCATGTTGGTGTCGCAAACATGCTTGACAAAATTCACGCGGAACGGAGCAGCCGTGTTCCGTCAGCGAAAAAAAATAATTTTTGGGTGACATTTGGTCTTTGATTTGTCTTTTTTGCGCAAGCCAAAATGATTAACATTTTTGTCTCAAAATTTGCAGGTCACATTTGTAGTGACAAAGATGACAAAAAAAAAATTGTCTCAAATTTTTTGACATTTGAAAAAAATTTCAAAAATGGCCCCAGGTGCAAATGCACCCGGGAGCCGAATTGATTTTCGTCTTTTAAGCTAATATAATGGCAGTGATCGCCGACTGTTAGCAGATACAGTGCAGCACACCACGCAAGCAAGCAAATCAACTGATCAAATCAAGATTTCTTACATCCATGGTCACATCAGTCCAGCACTCAAGTAACTTCTAGTACATGTATGCTGTCTGGGCTGAGCACCCACCAGATACAATGCCCCAAACTGAGAGACCAGGACAACTCAACCTTGCAAGACCACAACATCCCTAGCACTACCTTGCAACTCAACATCTCTAATCCACATTTCATACCAGTCCCAGGCAGAGGCAGCATCAGACAGGCATAGGTAGCAATCACATCCTTAGTGGAAGCCTGTCCCTGAACCACAGACACCTTCAGCCCCTAACCCTATCAACAGCTTTAACAAGCACATCATCTCCCCTACCTATTGATAACACCTTTACCAGGCACAATGGGGGGACTGAAACTGAACCAACAGTAGCTGTATGCTGCAGAGAAATTTAGTCCTGCACTTGATGCATCCGTTCGCTCGTTTGTTCCCAGGCCCGGGCGGGAAGCTCGACATAGAGGGGACACTGAATGACCGCTGATGTTGTACTGAGAATCTGTTTATTCACACGCCAGCTTGGTGTCGAAGCTGGTCAGGCAGATGGCGAAGGCCTGGAACGCCGACAGCGGGTACCGGTAGTCCATGGTGAAGGTGTCCTTGGACACCTTGCCGAACTGCAGCAGCACCGTGTCGTGGTGGCTCGAGGACGAGGACGCCGACGCCGACAAGGAACTGCCAGCAGGCTGGGGCTGCGCGGCGGCAGCAGAGGTAGGCTGCTGCTGGGGCGGTTGCGTCTGTGAAGACGGCTCGGGAGCCGCCTCTCCTCCGGAGGCTGGCGGTGGCGGGGCGGGGGCGGCGATCAGCTGGAAGTTCTTGACCGAGGCCACCGTGACGCGCCCCCGGAAGTTGAGGCACCAGCACTGCAGCTGCTCGTGCCACCGAGGCGACTTGTTCTTGAGAACCAGTGGGCTCTCCTTGTCCCCCGCATTTTCGTCGCCACCTTCTTCTCTCAGAGGCCCTCCCCCAAACTCGGAGAAGCGGCAGCTGCTGAAGTCCGTGGAGTACCTGGAACTTGCGGTGGTGCGGAAGGATTCCTCGAATAGCCGAGGGAGGAGCTCCTTCGGTTGGCCAGGCACAACGCCATCAGGGTCTACCGCCGATGTCGGGATGGAGTTCATGGTGCACTGCATCCGCCTTGGCCCGCGGGTGCCGAGCACGTTCAGCTCGTAGTTCACCTGAGCGATGGGGTAGCTGCCAGTCGCCGCTGGAACTTTGGGGGAGACTTTCCTGGAGGAGAACCGCCGTCTGGTCCGTTCCTGCGGGCAGAGTTTACTGGCATTGTAGGACGGCTGCGTGTCGTAGATGATGAATTTGGTGCCGAGGAAATTTGACCTGCAAGGACCATCCATGTTGTCTGTTAGATTTGTATGCACATATACCCGGACAAAGTCATTTCAAGTGACAATGGGGTAAGGGACGACTGTTGTCAAAGGGTATGTTACCTCAATTTCCCGATGTAGCCACTACTTGACCGGGATATATTTTTAGGATCCATAGAAATGGCATAGTCGGTGTAAGTTGTTCTCCGACTCCTTTTAGCTGACAGTAGGAACTTGCCATTATCATCAAGCACAGCTGCAATAGGCAATCAAAATGCTCAGTGTGCTGTGTAGTTTGCTCTGACTTCTGACCATATTAAAACAAAACTACTTAAACCTCTGTAGCAAATACAGAATTATGAATAAAACAGGGCATCCCTACAACTTTACTGAGGTTACTGAAGGCTTTATACACTATACTTTTTTATTTTTATACATCTCGATACTTAAAAATCATAAGTGAATCATCAAAACAGAATTAAAAAAATGATGATTAGGAGCACAATGGAGAAGTGCAGGGCAATTAGACAAACATACCAGAAGTAAGGGACAGGTAGAGACGATAAGTCAGCTTTGACTTGTCCCTTTTGATGAAACATTGGATCAATCCATCTCGAGATCCAGGCTGCACATGAGAAATTGAACCAAGTGTTATTAAAAGGTAAGAAAATATCACATCCCAAGTAACAAAAACGGATAGCTTAATTAAATACAGGGCCAGACTGATAAACAATATGGATACCAACTTTTCTTATTAACCGGGAGAGAATGGTGTGGTTACCTGCTTAAGGGACACAGGAAAGGTGAGCTTTCCACAGAATTCTGGATTCCTCACGATATCCTTGCACATGTCTCTCCAGGTTGTACAGACAGAAGCGCAGGCAACAACATCTTTGCGGGACGGCCAATTGCTGTCGTCTTCCTCCAGCCTTTTCATCACATCCCGAAGTAATTCAGGAGGAAGGCTAGCCCAATTGCCTTGCAGGTTTGTGACAAGACTATCCTGCAGATCACTTGCAGATTCAAGCGATTTCCCTCGGTGATGGCCCGAAAGGCTTGGGATGCTTGAGATTTTCGCCTCGAAATTCCGCCTTGACAGGTTTCCGAAGCTCTCCCTTAAATCGCGAACTATGCTGCGCAAAGTCATCTTTGGACCTGATGCAAACCCTGAGTAACCAACCGCAGCAGCAGGCGACAGCAGCAAGAGTGCGATCTGCAGTTCAAAAGCAGCACGGTGATCAATACCCTGTGAAATAAGCTCAAAGGCATGCTATGAACAATTGAACATTACAGAACAAGCTAAGGCATGCCATAGATTATCTTACATTCTGTTCCTATCTAGCGACAAAACCGGTGTATCGCACACAGCATGGTAAGTAGCTCCTACAACAAGCACGCTTAACAGCGACTGTTTCTGTCTGCAAGCACATGCTGCCATGTGGAGATTTAATAGTGAGTATGGTGAAAGTCAAGCCTAACAGAGACTAAACCATGCCCACTTGACTAAATCCAGACCCTGGCTAGGGACAGTGGACCAATCAGTTGATCAGTCATTCTCGTTTGTGTACCAGATACAAACATGGCCAGATGCGGCACGGCTTCTCCGATGGGAAAGGCCAACGTAACACCCTTATTACAGGCATCCTTGATCAGCAAAACTAGCCCTTTTCTCCTTGTTCCTATCCTTAATCCGCGCGTCGTGGGTGGATAAACGAGAACGTTTTAGGCCTCCCGTTGACGCCGGCGCGTAGTACACGTACTATATTCATTAAACTTGGACTTGGAAATATTAGTCTTTGCTACTACTACTGTACGGAGTACAATCTAAGAAGCGGTGGAGTGGAAAAAAGGGTGCCTTTTTGCTAGAGATCGAGTGGAGACTCCTCTGCCCAGATCAGGCACAGGCACTCCCCAGCTCTGGAAAACAAGCAAGCACGGATCCAGCAGTTGGCATCTGGATAATAAATGGAAAACAGCCAGGGTTTCTTTCCTTCACCAAAGGCTGCTGCAAAACAGTTGAATCTGAGGAGTTGTTTCACACACACACAGCCTCAAGTTCATCATCTTTTTTTCTGCGCTTCCTGGATCAACTAGCTAACAAACCAGGAGTAACTACTACTCAGATGCAAAATCAAAGATGTAATGCGAGGGCGGGAGCAGATGTTGGGAAGAGCAGAGAGCAGTTTCCTCACCACTGGTGTAGAGAGCGCAGATCGGACGGCCGCTGAACTGTTATCCAACAAGAACGATCCCCAAAATCAAAATCCCGCAGGAGATCCCCTGAGGCTCGGAGACGCACGGGGTTCAGATTTGCACTCCGGATCTCGGCACCGACGTCGGAGAAGATCCGGCGGCTTCCTCGCGGTCCGACGCCTGTGAAACCTGATCCGAGTGCTCACCAAGAAGTCGCAGCGGCAGTGCCGACCTTGAGTGGTGGTTGGGTTGGGAGTGAGGCGGGTGGGTGAGCACGCAAGAAAGGGGAGAGCGGGGCGAGGGAGCGGAGGCGCGGTAATGGTGGTGGTAGTGGTGATCCGCGGATCGGATTTAAGGAGACCGTCCGTCCTCCGTCGACGGGTGGGTGGATAGGGCCGAGCCGAGGGAGGCGACGAGCGGGGCCGGCGGGCCAGGGTGAAGGAAGGAAGAAAGAAGCTTTTTTCCCCTTTGCTCCGCCCACTGTCTTCCTTGGATTGTTGGGCTGATATTTCTGTACTTGTGCCGCTGCTCAAAGTTGAAAGTTGAAAACTTTCGGCTTTCAGCGGCGTATGACAGGGAGATTTGAAAAAATAGATTCGGCTTTGCACTGGGGCGACAGCATAATCCGACGTGGATGCCACTGGGGTTGAACAAAAGATCTGGCAGGTTTTACCATGCATGGCTGCTGGAGCCTGAAACACATGGGCAATCATGAATGCTCTCTCTGAATTTTTCTGCTGCTATATGCTGCTAGTAATTCCCACTGAATCAATCCTGTATTCTAGTGCCCACTCAGGTCTGAAACTCTGGCTGTCATGTTACTGTTAGTAAGTAATTAACCTGTATGTAAACACCCACTCAAGTCTGAAACCCTGGCCGTTGTTTCAGCGAGCAACCCTGACTTGACTGAACGTCTGAATCTTACCCAAAAGCTGCTAAATTTGTAAATAAAATAAAATGAAATTCACCGGGCCATTTGAAATTCGACGCTTTGTGAGCCGAATGGATCCTGGGCAGTGGACAGCTAGCGGAGAAGTTCAGGTGCAGCTGTTGCCGTTTGGTTTGGTTGGCATAACTGTCCATCCATCCATCCATCTGTTACTGCAAAGCAGGCGCAGCGCCAACCAGTACGGCTACGGCAGCGCCATTCAATTCGGTTCAGGTTCAGTCCGGTCCGGTGGATGGGTGGATAGATCATGGATCTTGTTAGATGGATGAATGTTATCTACTTATATTTACTGCTCTCTGACGAGGACAAGCACGATGAAAATGCTGCATGGAAGGCAAGCGGGCAGAAGCATTTCACTCAGTGGGATGGGCAGCAGGCGTCCAGATGCAGGAAATTTCACCATGCACATTCGGAAAAAGGCGCTGGGGAATAATAACTGAACCTAATTTGTAAAGAGGCCCAGTCGTCCGAGTGCGCATTTCACTAAGGTGCCCATCAGGGAGGAGAAAAAGGAGAATGCAGGATAAGAAAGCGGCACACATTATGGAAAGCAAAGGACAGTCACAAAGGAAACACCTTTCCTTTTTTTTTTTTTTCTTTTCTTTTCTTTTCTTTTCTTTTCTTGCAAGGCAAATCCAGTCCTGGCGAACAAACAAGCAAAAAATATCCCGAGATATTTTTTATTCCGTCTGAAGATCTTTTCTCTTCGATTTGTCATGTAAAATATCTGATGGCACCGTGCTGTGTGTTCGTTCTTATCGACCGAATGGTTAACCGGTGTTTAGAGATTTATTACGTTGACCTGGTAACCATGCTTCAGAAAAAAAAAACATCTGACCTGGTATTAGCAGCAGCAATATGGGTTTGAAATCAGATACTATGGTGTGTAAGTAAGATGTTTGTTCAAACTCTTCAAAAAAAAAAGATGTTTGTTCAGATGCTATGGTCTAATTATAACAAGATCTTTTCTTCTTAATCTCAGATGTGATGTGATGTGATGTGATGCGATGCGAGAGTTCGTTCTTATCGGCCGAATAATTAGTTAACCACTCTTGCGGATTTACATTGACTTGGTAATCATGCATTATCTTCTGTCTAGTAGTACATGCTTAAGAAAAATATCTGATTACGAGTGCCATACGGGCTTGGGGTCAGGCTGTACTTATACTCGAGTAAAAAGTTTGATCAGCTGCCATAGTGTTAGTGTGTACGATCGCCCGTGCCGTGGTAATCATTGAGGCAAATTAGATGGATGTCACTGTACTTAAACGTGTAGTGATCATGGAACTGCTGCACACGCTGACAGCTACATGGATCCAACCAAATGGTCCAGCCTGATTTGATTAAATGTGGTTGCTAACTGTTCTTCTCATTGCTGCACGCAGGCACGCAGGTGGTTAGCATGCCTGCATCTCCCTTAAACTTCCCATCTGTCTGCCTTTTCATTTTTATTTCTTGGCAAGTGTACTTGCACACAAACATTTCACTAGAAACTCCAGATCTTTCCAGATCCTCCTGCTCAATTATGTACTCCCTCCGTCCAAAAATACTTGTCTGAGAAATTGATAAAAATGGATGTATCTAGAACTAAAATATGCCTAGATACACCCATTTCTCCGACGAGTATTTCCGGACGGAGGGAGTACTACAATATCGACCCCCTGTTCTTTATGCGCAAGTCAAACGATTGGATACGCTTGCGAAATCACGGAGGAGAAATCAAATCAGAGATGATAAGGAAGAAAAAATAATAATACCACATGCAAGCACACGGATTCGGAGGAAACCATCATCATATAATAACAACAACGGCAACAATTGGCACTAGTTTTTTTCTCCCATGATGCTACCTAAATGGAAGCAAGTTGCAAAACAAAAAGGCGGCTCGCACGCGTGCCCTGACGGCCCTACGGGGAGACGGATAACATTAACAACGTCGCGATCTGTCACTCATCACTCCAATTATCAGCACTGATCAGAGGTTTGTGCAGATGCAGGTGCAAGCACCGAGGAAATCCCTGTGAAACTCCATGGTGGCCATGGTGGCCAACTGGCCATGGGCGAGACAGCAACAAGCACCTCCATCGGCTGCCGCCTTTAATCCGATTCGGCTAGCTTTATGCCGGCAAGATTGATTGAATCCAGCTGCACCAGAGGAGACTGGGACCTGAAACTGAAACTTTTCTTCTTGTTTCTTTTGTGCAACATGATACCAGCGGCAGAGTGAGACGTGTACCATCTTTCTCTCCCAAGTATCTAATGCTAAGCAATGTGTAATAGGGATTGTTGGTTAGCTCGGCACACGGGGGAGCGAGCGTCGATCGATGGCATATCTTACAGGATTATGGGAGGAGTTTTGTATAACCTGCTGCAGGGATCAGATGCTAGGTTAGATGATCGTTTGGGTTAATGCCCACTCAGCTGCTAGTGTGAAATATGCTGCTTGGCACTAGCTAGAATCGGCCCTTTTACCCCTGCTTACTAAACAAGTTTAACTAGTCTGATACCTTTGGTTAGATTAGCCTGAGTGTGAGATCATTAGTACGTACATGACTGCTCTTTATCCTTATCCACGGCGGCTGCAAAGAAAAAACAAGGAATGGAATAAGATGCGGCTAGAGCTGTACTTTATTATCCGAAAAAAGACAAGAATTGCACTGTATTGTTTCAAGGGTAGAAGGTCTTTGCAGTTGGACGACGGTATGCTGAATTTTGGTTGTCAATGATATTCAGAGATGTGAACATGACAACCACTCGCATGATTAATACTGAAAGATGACAGTATGCTCATAATATAAAATTTATTGAATCACTAGACCGCGACTGACTGACGTTGAAAATATATAATGAAAAAAAAACTCAGAGAAACAAGTACTCCCTCCGACCCATAATATAAGAGTGTTTTGACACTACACTAGGCTCTTATATTATGAGACCGAGGGAGTAGCATGCATGCCTTTGTTGCGAAACTAAGCTAGGTGAGACCCCCCCCCCTCACCGCATCG